AAATGATATGTTGCATTTGCAATGCACAACATTCTTGTAACGCTCGATACAATATTCTGAATGCGTTCGCACGCAAGTCTGGATCATGATTTCCGATATGCGTGATCCCGAAAATCCAAACACATGCATGCGTTTCTGGAGGCAACATCCAAGGAAACCCGATGCAGCAGCTCTGTTTTCAAGTAAGCATGTAAAAGTTAGCGAAGTTAGCAACTTCGCTAACTCAAGCTATCTACCTCCAAATGCACCGCCCGAGTTAGCCGACTTAGTAACATTACTAATGGTTATAACTTACTTGCAACCGAGTTGCAACTTGCTTATAACCTACTTACAACTGCTGCTAACAATTAGTAAGGCCGAGGGACTTCAGGGGGTCGTCGTCGCCGCCGCCGCGGTCGCCGAAGCCGCCGTCGACGCCGCCGCCGTCGTCGAGCGCCGCGGCACGTCTCGCACCCACTCGCATTGAATCCCGACAACAGCTCGGGGGAGCGGGAGGGAAGGGGGCGGGGCGAAAGGGGGCAAGGCGACGCGAACACAACCGATGAGAAGGCCCTGCTGAACAGGGCCCTCTGCGCAATCTTTCCTGGGCGCCCGGGCCCTCCGACAGCCCGATCAGTCCCAGCGGCCGAGGCCCGGGCAAACGAGCGTGCCAGATGGCGCAGAAAACGCTTCCACTGGGGATCGGGCCGAGAGCCCCTGCCAACGCGGCAAGGTGCCCTTCCGACGTTGCGGCAGGCTCCGCGATGGGGGGGGGGGGCAGGAGGGGCGGGAGGGGCGGGGGGCATGGCCGCGGTGGCCGCGCCAGTTACCGCGATGAAGAATAGCGAGCCCAGCAAGCAGCCACGCGCGCGCCCAGGAGCAAGGTGGAGAAGTTAGCGGACGCACCAACGCAATCAATCACAGCAGTTACGAACGCCATCGAGCACCTGAAATGCAGTGCCACTGCAAATTTGATCCGCGCCGCGGGGCTCAACCCAGCTGACGTCGTTGGCATTTTCAAATAGGTCCAGCACGCGGCACTCGTGGGCTGTCTCGGCGACGGTGATGCTGGGATCGGCAGCCTGCGCGCGCGCCGATGCGTCCGCGGAAGATCGTGCACCAGCCGTCTTCGTCACCTCGAGCTGGCCCGGGGGTGGAACCCGCGCCGCTGCCCATGCGCGATGAGCCGAAGCCTTCTTTACTGATAGCACATATGAAATTTGGGCCACATGGCCTTGGCAGCAGGCGTCCGACAGCGTCTACCTCGTCGTCTGCTCAACTGCTCTCCTGGGCAACTGGCGGGGCTCACATCCTACTCGCCCTCGTCCTCGTCATCTCCCCCTTCTCCTCCTTCTCTTCGCCGTCGTCGTATTCCCCTTCGTCTTCTCCCTCGTCCCCCCGCCCCTCCCCCCCCCCCCCCTTCCCCCGCCCCTCGTGCTTCCCCGTCCACGTCTTCCTCATCCAACGGGCCTCTCAAGGCTCTCTGCATCAGGCCGACGCAGCATTCGCCCCGCGCGACCGCGACTTGTTTCTCGACGGGATTCCGAGCACCCAGCGACGCTTCCCGTTCGGCACTATGGACTTCCAGTGGTCGGCGATACCTCCGCCCGCCCCGCCATCGGGCGACCGCGAGGCGGCGCCGCCGAAGAACTCGGACCTCTACATCGCACGCAGGCCTCGCACGCAAAGTCTGCTCCTGCCGGCCGAGCGCCCGCGCCAGTGAGGGCGCGCCCGCGGCTGCCCGAGCGCGATCGCGCGCCGCCCGGCCGCTCGTAGCACTCGCAGAGCCCAGGGGGGCGCAAGCGACCACAAGAAGGCGCAGCTACGACGCGCTGCCCGGACTGCCATCCCGTCGGTGACACCTGCGCCCGCCAACGCGGGCACGGCGCCTCCGCGTGGCGCCGCGCCCCTGCAATCGACACACGCTGGCGCGCGCGCGCCCGCGGCATGCCCCGAGAGAGCGCGATCAGCGCCGCGGGCGAGCCGTTCCAGGCAAACCGCAGATCAAACAGAAAGCTCGCACAAAACACACACACACACACACACACGCACGCACGCACGCACACACATACACACGCACACACGCACGCCGGCACCGCGCAGCGGGGGGCGCGCGCCCCAGCAACCTCCAGCGAGCGCCGGGGCTGAGAAACGGGCCAGGGATATCCCCCCCCTAGACCTCCCCCTTCCCCCCCCGCAATTCCGCGTCGCCGTTTCCTGGTTATTTCCGTCGGTTGCGCGCGGCAACTCAGCGGCGCGGCGCGCGGCCGCGCGCGGCGGGCGCCCGCGCGGGCGCCCCCGAGGGGCTGGGCCGACCGCTCGCAACGACGGGCGCGCATTGCAACCGCGACGCGCGCGAAGCAGCGGGGTCAAAAAAGGGAGACAGCAGCTCTCGCAATGATAATGGCAGTCATACTCATGGTGGACGCTGCAGCACTGGCACCAGCACGAGTAGTTGCACTGGCGCAGCGCGGCGCGCTGCACCCGCGGGGCCCGGCGAGACGCGAGCGGAGGAGAAGAAGCCCCACGCGTAGCGAAGCACCCAAACTCGCATTCCGTCGGCGGCGCACATGCCCGCCAGATGCGGGTGCGGCGCCGCCGCACGGCGCCGCGGCCCGGCGCTCGACCGAACCTTAGATGCGCGAGCGCGCCCTGGGCATGCGCTGACAGGCCGCGATCTGATCTGCAGGCGAGCCGTTCTTCAGGCCGCGGGGCCAGAATGGTAGCTTTCAACGCGCCACCCTGGCGCTGCGCGACCGTCGGCACATTCCCCATTAACCTCCAGCGCGCGCCCGGCCAAGAACTGGGCCAATAGTCCCCTGTCAGGCTTCCGCTTCCCAATTCCCCCCCCTTCCCCCGTTGCCGCTTGGCCGTCGCCCTCGTGCGTTCCGCCGCTGGCACCGAGCAGCTGGGCGGCCCAGGGCGCGGCGATGAACGGCGCGGGCCAGCGCGCGCGCGCCCGAGAGACCAGGCCTCCAGCACGCGCAACGACAGGTGCATGCTACAACCGCGACGCGCGCGAAGCCGCGACGGGAAAAAAAGAAACGGCTGCGTCGCCATGGCCGTAATATGAATACAAAGGGGAACGGTTGTAGCACCAGGAATCACAAAGCCGGTCCGCGTGGCGGGACGTATGCATCCTAAGGAAGGATTCTCCTCGTAGTTCTAGAACTAGTAGTCTTGGTGGTGGCAGTGCCAGTCGACGCCAAACCTGGCGGCTCTCGCCGCCCACCTAAAACTGATTGGAAACCTGCGCGGCCCACGCCGTCGCGCGCGGGCGCCGCGCGCGAAGGGTGCTTCCGGCGGCCACTCGTCGCCGACACGAACGTCGATGAACGCGTGCTCCGGTGAAACGAGACGCAAGGGGGTCACTGCATCAGACCTGTTCATGTCGCGCACGGTGCCACCGATGTTGACCCGCGCCCAGTCAGCGCTTGCGACCGCGGAAGTGAACGACGCCACCACCGCGGTGGCAGCGGAAGGCTCCATCCAACTCCACCGAATCTGGAAGCCCGGAACCACTTGCAACTGGCCGCGCGCGTTCTGCTTCAGCCTTGACACGCGAACATCGTGGCCGACGAACTGCCGATCCACGGCGGTGACCTGCGACGCGGCCTCACCCCACGCAACGATCTCGTGCTCCTTGGCGCCAGACGCGAGCCAGAGGCACGATCGACGCCAAATCTCGCCGGGCTTCTCGCCGACCTTGCGTGACGCCGACACGGAAAGCGCCGTTGCTTCGAACTCTCCCATGGGGCACTCAGCGAGGACCTCGTGGAGCAGCTTCTCCTGGTTGCTGACCCGCGCCGTGCGCTCAGTGCCCCACTCCTCGTGGCTGGGCCGTTCCGGAATGCTGCTGCTGGACCATTCCTGTGGCCAGCTCCACTCGTCGCCACGCCAGTCCTCGCGACATCGCGGGCGGAGCACTCGGACTGCGACTGGTCGTAGTCCCACTGCGCGCACCGTGCTCTCGAACGCGCCCGGCACGGTCACGTCAAAGAAACGGCCCTCGTGCCTCGCCTCGGCCCGCTCGCCCGCGACGAACGATTGAGGGGGCGGGGCCTCGGCGTCGCCTTGGCCGTCCACGTCTGTCATTCGAATGTCGCGATTGGGGCTCGCCGCCTCGGACTGATCACCGTCCCACCTCACGACGCTGGCGGCCACGCGACGTCGAAAAAATTGTCCCCGTATAGCGCCTGACCGCGCGCGCCGGAGGGGAACGCGGGGGGGGCAACGCCTGTGGAGGTCATGGCTGCTTGCTTGAGCGCGGCGTTCTCCGCGAGCACTCTCGCCAACTCCGCTTTCAGAGTCTCTGCGTTCGAAGCACCACCGAATACCACCCAAGCGCTGCCCAAAAGGCCGCCCAGAGGACCCCAAGACGGCCCTCGAGCGCCCCAAGACGGCCCAGGAGGCGCCCGAGACGGCCCAAAAGGGCCCCATGACGGCCCCACGAACCAAAAATCGTAGCGTTCTGCCCCAAGAGGCCCCCAGGAGACCCCAAGAGGCACCCAAGAGGCCCCGAAAGGCTCCAAGAAACCCCCCAAGAGACCCAACAGCGACCCCACGAGGCTCCAAAACTGCCCCCAAGAGGCCTCAAACTGCATCCAAGAGGCCCCCGAAGGGTCTCCATGAGAACCCAACGAACATCGAATAGGCTTCATACCCACAACCCAGACACAGTGGCGGGATGGGCCGAGGGCCATTCGATAGAGAGGAATCCGAGGTGACACAAAGAATCAAGAGTCCCACCTGAACCCTTCCTGCAGTGCTCGGTAAAGCACCCTGACAACAAACGAATCAAACATTCGTCGCTCAATTGGGGTCGGTGGCAGAGGCGGCAGCCCTTAGATTACACCAAAGAAAAACCCCAATCAATGGATCGACCAGGGACCCTGGAACCCGGGAACCCAGAAAACACCAAAATCGGCCCGACACCCATGCCCAGGAACCTGGGAACGCGGAGCCGGGAGCCCGGGAACCCAGCCGGCTACAAACATCGGCGGGGAACTTTCGCCAAATCTTGCCATATCCGCTGGGACCCCTTCAGTGCGAGCACTGATTGGGCAATGTCATGCTTCGTTCCCGTGTTCTTCTGCCGACTGCGCAGCCCCGCTCTGATTGAGCGCCTCGGCGACCGCCCTAGCAAGCGCAAACACCAGCTCGCTCGCCGCACCCGCGCTGCGCCCGGTGATCTGCTCCTCGCGAGCGGGGTCCCGTCCTGTGACCGGAGGGAGCGAGATATCGGAAGGAACATGCATTTGGACGCCCGAAATTGGCACGGAAAACATGGGCACAATGCCCAACAACAAATGCTGCCCCAAAACAACAGCCGCCGCTGTTGGGCAGGCGGCCTTCTGTCTCGAATGGACACAGTCCACGGCGGCGTGGACAACGAATCCTGTTCACAATGAACAGGAACTGCTGTTGGGCATCGTACCCATTCTTTCCGTACCCATTTCGGGCGTCCCAGAGGCACGAAATAGAAAGGCGTGGAAAGCAGATCCCGGCACCTGGAGATCGGGGGCGCGCAAGCATGGATCAGCGACCCATGAATTCGTAGATGGTCCCACGTGTTCTCGGAGAGCAACCCAGGCGGCACCCCAGACGGCCCCGAGAGCACCCAAGATCGGCCCAACCGCGATCCAAGAGGCGATTTGGATGGCCCCAGTGTGGAGGCGGGAATCGCGGACCCCCCCTTGGATCGATTGCCTCCAAGATGGCCTTACGAGGTCCTCCAGGCTCTAGGGCTCAAAAGAGGACCCCAAAACAGCCCCCAGAGCGCCCCACGAGGGCCCCCAGAGGCGGTTTGCCTCTTTCTCCTTCTCCTCCTCCTGCTCATCCCCTCGACCCACTGCTATGGATCCGCCGAGCTCTGTTTCACTATATGTGTCGATTCGTCCCTTTTCCCGTCAGCCCTCGTGGGCACGGGTTTCTGAACGGGCTGGTGGGGATACCTTTTTTTTGATCGCAAGCGCACCGGGAGACGCCGGACTTCGTGCAAAAGTCGCAGCAAGCGGGCTACGATCGAATTGCGCACCAGAACAAGGGAGGGAGGCAACGAGAGGACAGCGGAGGGAGGAACAAACAGAGGCGGGCCTCGCTGCCGCTCAGAAGAGGGCGCCGTCGACTGGGCAACGTGGATAATTGCCTTCGTTATACGCGAAACGCGAAGAATTGGAAAGGTGGGGATACGCGAAACGTGGAATGGGGAAGAATGCCGTCGAATGGAAACGGTGGGGAACAATGCCGTCGAATGGGAACGGTGGGGATACGCGAAACGTGAAGAATTGCCTTCGTTTTAAGCGAGCTGATCAGTTAGCTAATCTTGAGGGAAGGTCTCGCGGCTCCTCATCGGATTACACCGCGTCTGACTTTGGAGGCCTCTGTCGACTCCAAGATGTCCCAAGGACGGCTTCAACACGGCCTCAAGCTTCAGGACCTTCCACACAAACACACGACTGCTCAAGATGGCTCCAGGCTGGCCCGACATGGCCTCAAGACGGCCCCAGATGCTCCCAAGACGGCCCAAGAAGCTCCTTGTCCAAGAAGCCCCCAACAAGACTGAAAGACGGCTCCGGACGGCCTAACACGTCCCCCAGACTGCCCCCAAGCCCCCAAGGAAAGCCCACGATGCCCCAAACACTGCCCCAAGAAGAGCCAAAACGGGCCCAACAGGGCACAAGATGCCCCAAAGATGCACCACAACTGCCCCCCCCAAAAAAAAGCCACAGGGTGGCTCCCAAGTCCCCGAGATCAGTCTCAGCAAAAGGGGCCGAACACATTCTTACCGGTCGGATGTTTTCTCGCGCGGCTGAGGCCGTGTTAATATCTCCTGGCTCCTATCATGAAGACGTCAATGAACACGCTCCGGGCCGTCTCCGACACGAGACCGGGGACGCCCGCCTTCCCAGCGGCGTCGAGCGTTCTGCTCACCGCGGCGGCTGTGAATTCTGCGGCCTGCCCCGCGGCCAGAGCAGCACTGGTGACGCCGCCCACCGATCTTTCAACGCGACTCGCCGCGTAGCTTGGGATCTTGGAGAGGCCCGTGGCAGCCTCGCGGGCGGTGTGCATGGACGACTGAACATTTCCCGGGACCTGAATAACCACCTCCACGGTGCCCACCAGCACTCCTGCACGGGATGCCGAAATGTAACGGCCACGGGACGAGCACGTGATTTGTATGGCTTAGGGGGCATCAAACCTTGCCCACTTCCGCTGAGGAAGCGCACGCTCAACAGGGACACGGCAATGTCTGTATGTTCCTGCTTGGCCACACACTACCTGCTCCCCACGGGAGGTACAACAATTGTTGTTGTCGGCGGGGAGGGGGACACTCATCACCGCCATCAACAACATTGGCGCATGCCGCCGAAACCGCCCGCGACGCAACGTCACGTGTTCAAGAACATTGGGTAAGGAACGCAGCCGCATTGGGGCATCACCGCCTGGATGCACGGGGAGCGCCAGAGGACAACCCATGGAATAATCTGAGGAACGCCGAGCCCCTTCCGAAACCGAAATTGACATGTATCCCAACTTTGCGACAGTGTGTTACTTGCTTCCCGATCAGCCAAGAAGGTCTCAGCATCTGCCACAAAGCCCTTTCTGGGCACCGGTATGGCGTACAACATCATGCGCGCATTCCTTAACCAACGCCCCCACCGTATTCCAGAGGACCCCTGATCGAACCAAAACGGCCCTTCGACCCGCAGACTGCCGCGCAAACCCGTACGACTGCCCCAATGGCCAGACCATGCCGCGTTGAGACCTCCGATAGAACCCAAGAGGCCTCCAGCAAGCCATACACTTTTCCCCCAGATCCAGCGCATCAACAATGCATTGCCATAGCCGTACCGCGCTACAGCGTTGATGTACTGATTGACCCAGCGCGGTGAACAAGGAATGTGAACATTTGGGGCCTCTGAATGTCACCATTGGGAATGGTTTGCTTGAGTGTGTGCAAGATGCTCCCCCTTACGTCCTCGGATTCCCGAGTACAATACAGCAGATGTCGCCGCGCCCTTTGTCCTCAACGCGCCCAAGTGGACGACGCCAACGCCACGGTAAACTCACGCCAAACCCTGCACCCCGCGCCCCAAGAAGGCGAGGCTGGCACTGCGGCAAACCCCACAGCAAACCTCTCCACGTCCGAGGCGGCGATTGCCCTGGTGGTCCCAAATGCATGCGATAAGATCCATAGCTGGGACCGCAGGGTGCCGATGCCAGTGCCCCCCGGACCTCTCCCGGGGCGCATTCCGACTGGAATCTTGAAGCGAATCCAACGCTGGCGACGAGGGCCTCCCAGGAGGCCCCCAAAAAGGGAAAAGCTAAGCAAGGGTGGCGGCACCGGTACCTTCTCCTCTTCGGGATGGCCGCAGGAAGCCTACTTGGATCGCCGCGGTGGCTGCTAAGGGGATGGGGGGGTCAGAAGTGGGTGCTAAAGTGGGCTTGTTTCTGGCCTAGCCCACCTTATAGGTGGGTTACAAGTGCCCTATGTGGCTTAGGATGATGAGGCAACTCCGCTAAGAGGGCTCCGCCAGCTTGCCCAGATCTGTGCGCCCTTCAGCCACTTCGGGCACGGGCAACCCACTTCTAAGCTGAGTTTGGCTGGATAGAACCCACCTTCGCATCCACTTGTATCCCCCTATCCTCTCAGCACCCCCCGCGGCGATCCAAGTACGGGGCACCCTTGTCGAAGACCTCCGATCTCCCCGGGAGGTGCCCCGCAACGTCTGTGGCGTCAGAGGGACTGTGCGGGCGGGGCAGGGGGCCGAGAAGGGCCGAGGACCATCATTTGGTTATTAGGAAGGCCCAGGGTTAGGCTTAGGTCGGGCGTGTCCTCCTACAGGCGGATGTTGGACGAAAGGTCAAAAATAGTAACAAACCAAAATGCTCCAACAAAAATAGAAGATTGTCGAACCATCGTTCCCATACTATTTTTTTTACTATTTTTGATTCGTCCTTCTGTAGAGTGATGTGCCCGACAGAAGGTTAGGCCGACCCGACCCTAACCCGAACCCTTTTGGCTCCAGGCCGCCGATCTGTCCACCGCGGTGACCCCATCTCGCCATCGCTCGACGTCCACATTCCCCGTGCATTGGTCGGCGTTGTGCGCGTGCCTTTGCTGAACGCATCGGGAGGCTCCTCGATGGCCCTGGCCGAGAAAAAATGCACACGGCCGAACGCTGCCAAGACATCGGCGAGGGGGGGGCACTCCTTTGGATGCCTGTTTGGAGCAGGTGCATGGCATCCCTGTGAAGGATCTGTTTGGGTGGTCGAAGAACACGTGTTCGACGCTTCTCTTACCGGTAATTCCCGGCGAGGAGGGCCAGGAAAGGACGGCGGGGGCGGGCCGAGGGGCCGACACAGGGGGGGGCCTCCTCCTCCTCCTGCTCCTGTTCCTCCTCCTTCTCCCTCCTCCCTCCTCCCTCCTCCCTCCTCCCTCCTCCCTCCTCCCTCCTCTCCTCCTTCCCCTGCTCTCCTGTCTCCTGCTCCTCCTGCTCCTACCGCTCCTCCTCCTCTCTCCCTCCATCCTCCTTCGCCACTCCTCCTCCTACTCCCCCCCCCCTACACTCCCTCTCCTCCTCCTCCCGCTCCTCCCTCCCCTCCCTCCCTCCGTGCTCCCCTGCTCACCTGCTCCTGCGCTCCTCCTTGGCTCCTTCCTGCTCCTCCTGCTGCTGATCCTCCTCATCTCCTCCTCCCTTCGCCTCATTTTCATTATCCTCCCTACCTCCTCTCCCTCGTCCCTAGTCCCTCCTCCCTCTTCCGTCCCTCCTCCCTCCTGCCTTCCCCTCTGTGCTCCTCCTGCTTCCTCTGCTACTCCTGCTCCTCCTGCTCATCCTGCTCCTGCTCCTCCTCCTGCTCCTCCTGCTCCTCCTCCTGCTCCTCCTGCTGCTCCTCCTCCTCCTCCTCCTCCTCCTCCTCCTCCTCCTCCTCCTCCTCCTCCTCCTCCTCCTCTGTCCCCCTCCCGGAAGGCGGCGGGGCTGCTCTGGTTCAACAGTGGATGTCTCGACCCCTATCCCAGCATTCGTGGGGTTGTCGAGTAGACCAAAATCTTGAGGCCCGACCAGTGGATGTAGGAGTGGGGGGCGCGTGACCTCGTTAGGGGGTGCGTCCAAATAGCGCCCACTGCGAGTGTATCCCCGAGTTCCCCTCCTGTTCTGAGCGGCTTCATGTTTCGTGGAGAGATCCGGGGTTGGGGGCGAACAATCGCCTACGAGTTCACCAGCCTCGAACTCATCCCTGTCCCTGCGATCGGTAGGCCCAGGGCGATGCCAACCCCAGGGGTTTCGCACGGGGGAAGCGGGTCCTGAAGGATGCGGGACCTGGACCCTGTGCCCCCCCCCCCCCCCCGGACGAGATCCTCCTCCAGAACCATTTTCTGACAATCCGTTTCCCCCATGGCGAGGAGCGTGCCCTCAGAAACGGAGGGCATCCGCAGGATCGGCACGGAGGTGAGGTGAGGTGAGGTGAAGCATACGGATACGGGCACTCCGAGTTTCTGAATAAGCGTCGGGAGGGGGTCACCCCCGCCGACAGCCTCACATGGACCCCCGTCGCGGGCAGCCGCCGCGCGCCGAAGGCGCTCCGACCGACCCCGTCGCGGTGCGACGACGAGGGGAGGTCCACCCCCGTCGGAAGGGTACCCCACAACGCTTATTCAGAAACCCAGGATAAGTTTCGAGCTGGCAATTTACAGACGCCCACGTCTTCGGAAAAGAACGTGACCAACGTGTCTCAGGAGGCCGGGGGCCTTCCGAGCCCTCCGAGGAGGCTCGCCCCCTCTGCCTGTTCCCCCCCCTGGGCGCACCGCCGAGAGAGGAACATTAAACGGCACACCGATGATTGATCATTCGGTCGGGCATGTCCCCCTACAGGCAGACGTTAAACAAACACAACAAATAGTCTAACAATATATTCACGAATGGTGAAAAATGCTCAGAAATCGTCCCATATTATTTTTAAACTAGTTTTGAATATTCCTCCTGTAGAGGGAAAGGCCCGACTTAAATGTATCAGAGGTCCGCGCGGACCGCACCAGCGGTGCTGGATGCGCCGCCGAGGGTGTCCAGCGCCGATCCAGGAAACCCGCGCGGACGTCAGAGAAACCATGCTTATGCAATGTTTCAACTTCTTCAGACGGGGATGATGTCATGATCAGGCATTCCGCTGCATCTAGCGGCCCTCGTTTCTGCGGCCCCCGTGGAACATCAATCCATGTGGAATTCCTGGGAATCTTGGAAGGTATCATTCGATTCGATCGGCCGTTCATGGAAGAAATCTTGGAAGGAATCATGTGGAATCATGGGTATCTTGGAAGGAGTCATGTGGAATTCCTGGGAAGCTTGGAAGCTGTCCTGACCTCTTGCTCCTCCGATTTCGATCGGCCACCCGCTCTGGTGCGCTCAGCGACAGGTGCGGTCTGCCCGCCCTGCAGTCGCGCTCGCGTCCGCCGGCGCTGCCGACAAAGAACGCAACTCGATCGGAGGCCCGTTGGATGATGGGCCGATTTGTTCCACCACCGCTACCATAGGGGGGAGAGGGAGGAGAAGAAGGAGGAGGCGAGGAGGAGGACCTCCCCATCCTCCCTTCTCCCCCGTCCTACACATGGCAGAGGTGATGGAACATTGGCCCATCATTGGATGTGCCTGCTGTGTCCTTCATTTCCACCTCACTGCCCGTGTGCACTCCCAGCATGCTGCCCGTGTGAGCCTGTGCTCGGGTGCACAGGTATTAGGCCGGGCGTGTCGCCCTACAGGCGGACTTTGAACGAAAACATGGAAAATAGGCAAACCAGATTAGATAATAATTTAAGAATGGAATATCGTCCCAAGACTATTTGGTTTGGCTGCTTTTGAAGATTCCTCCCGCAGAGGGGCAGGCCCGACCTAACACAAGTGCAGGATCTTCACAGTCCGAGCCTGCGCCACCGCCATCCGCTCATTCCCTCCCCCCCCTGGCCTGTCTTTCTCTTGGTAGTCCCCAAACGTGGTGGTGACAACACCTGGCGGTGAGTCTCGGGCGATGTGGTGTCACCACCCGGTTTGGGGACTCGTGCGGTTTTCCGAGGATGTCCCGGACACTGGTGGGTCCAGGAGTCACGAAACCCGGCGGTGACCCCGCGTCCCCAAACCCAGCGGTGACCTTTTTGGGGATTCCAGGTCGCCACCTGGTATCTCACCACCCGGTTTGGGGGTTCCCAACTTTCTCCTGCTGTGACCACTTGGGCCCGGAAGCGAAGCGTCCCTCGGCTGCCCCGACCTCGTCCCGGGCCCACGTCCAGGGCTCGGTCGGGCACGTCCTCCTACAGGCGGATTTTGGACGACAAATGGAAAATGCCCCAAAAAATGCGCGAAGTAGCCAAAACATGCTCCAAACATGCTCCGAAAAATAGAAAATGCCCAAAATTCTCGAAATAGCCAGAACATGCTCCAAACATTGTTTCCTATATTATTTTTGAACATTTTCTGGCCATTTCGAATTGTTCCTCGAAGATGTGCCTGTAGGGGGGGCAGGCCCCACGTAAGTCTATAGAGGGGCACGAGACACGACATACACATAAAAACTCGGAGGTCCGCGCGGACTCCTCGGATCCGCGCTGGACCCCCCTGGCGGCGCCTCCGGTGCCGCCCCCGGCGCGCTCCGCGCCAGGAAGGGGGGTCCAGTCCAGCGCGGATCCGAGAAATCCGCGCGGACCTCCGAGTTTTATGTTTACAGTGTGTCGTGATTCGTTCCCCTAACGTCGCCGCCGACAACAGCCTTTGCCCCCAGGCTCCAATGGGATGGTCGACCAGGCGCTCCTTGAGCATGCCGGGGAGGCGGCTGACACCCGATGCGGCTCGGCGGATGCTCTCTGGAGCCTCCGCGGCCGACCTTCAGTTGAGGTTCCGCGACAGGGGGGAGTCTGGCTCAGGAAAGGAAGCATCGACCCTGACTCGGCGACACAACGCCGATGGATCGGCGATGGGCCCCGATGGCGAATCCGGGCGTCCCTGGGCGGGCTGGGCAATATGGCCCCTATGGGCGATGAGCGGACACTTTTGGGGGGCCGCTGCATCCGCAACTGTGCCTACTCTTCACCAGCACTAGGTCGGGCATGTCCCCCTACAGGCGGATTTTGGACGCAGAATGAAAAGTGCTAAACGAATGCCCCCAAAGAGCCCAAACTGATAGAACAATCGTCCTCAGACTACTTTGTTGCTGCTATGTGTGCTATTCCTCCTGTAGAGGGACACCCGACTTAACGCCAGCACTGCCCCTAGCTCGCGGGGATTGACAGGGCCCCCCTCCCTCCGCAGAGCGGGGCGCCCACTGCCATGGAACCCTCATCATCTGGATGCACGCAAGAGCCAAAACTGATAGAAAAATCGTCCTCATACTATTTTGCTGTTGCTATTTTTGCTATTCCTCCTGGCTCGACTTAACGCTAGCACTGCCCCTGCCTCGCAGGGATTGACAGGGCCCCCCTCCCTCCGCAGAGCGGGGCGACGCCCTGCCATGGAACCCTTAGATGCGCCGGGGCGTGGCGCTCCGCCCTGCCTAGAATTTCGACCGTGTCGAATTGAGGCCAGTGTTACTTTGCGAGGCGGGGATTTAACTATCCATATCCACCGCCTGGGAAACGACGTCCTGGTACCCCTGCGGGCGGTGGCTATGGATATGGATATGGATATATATATATATATATAGATATAGATATGGATATGGATATGGCTATGGATATATATATATATATATATATAGATGTATGGATATGGATATGGATATGGATATATATATATATATATATATGCCCCCAGGGGCCCGAATATCTCATTATCCACCGCCATCCCCGAACATTGGCCCTCCGGGCGGTGGTCATGTATGAGCTCCCGCCTTGGATACCTTGTCGGGGAGACGTGAGACTCGGGTACGGGGGACTCGGGTTGGCCCGACGGGGCCGTCCTAAAAATGACGAAGCCCGCCACAAACATCCCACGAAAACCAAACCGTTAAAATCCAGGACGCCTTCGTCAAAAAGCATCGGCAAACCCGAGTTCCGGCGCACTCGAGTCTTACATTTCCCCGGCTTGGGGTTCCTCATGCAAGGGGGGGATCCTGACACACCTTCTGATGGATCGTCGGGGGACCTCGTCTGTCCCATCGCGTCGAGAATTCGCGTCGAGTGAGTGCCGAACCACCGCCCATTCTGCGTCAAGCGCACGTCGGACACTGGCAGCGGGCCGCCGTTCAGAGGACAGACGAGGCTCCCCGAATAGCCACGTAAGACCTCCTACTGGAGGACTTACGCACGGCGTGAACATGTACTTTCGGGGGTCCGCGCGGATTCCTCGGATCTGCGCACGGTCCCCCTCCCCGGCGCGCGGAGCGCGCCAAGGGCGGCGCCGGAGGCGCCGCCAGGGCGGCCCAGAGCCGACCCAAGAGATACAAGCGGAGCTACAGCAATTTGTGGTTATGCCCTTTGGCATCTTCGAAGAAGGCCCCCGAAGCTGCAGTGTGAAAGTGTCGAACGGGCAACACACACACACAGACCCTTTCTCATAGGGTTAGGTCGGGCACGTCCTCCTGCAGGCGGATTTTGGGCGAAAGATGCAAAATACCCCCAAAAATGCTCAAGCATAGTCAACCATAGTCAAAACGTCGTCCCCAGACTCTTGTTTGCCTATCTTGGGTCTATTCTGTAGAGGGACAGGCCCGACCTAATCACAGGGGATTGGTGTGCGAAGCGCGTCTTTTTTTTTGCTACGGAGCCTCTAGGGTTCTCTTTCCTTGAAGTGGCGAAGGGCCAAGGCGGTCGCCCCGCAGGGCGAGCAGTTCACTCTCCAAGGTGGCCTCGGCTCGGGTCCCCTGCGGGCGGAAGCACCCCACCTGCCCCGCGGCGTGCCGTATGTGCGAAGCGCGTCTTGGGGCTGCGCTGTGGGTCTGGGTGCGGGTCGCCGCGCACCGAGGGGGGGCACCCGGGCCGAGCGGGGGACCCCCCTCCGACAACACACACGCAGCCCCCCATCCAAGGCCGCGCTGACGGCGTGCTTGGTTCGGGGGCTCGCAAGCGTGGATTCAAGTCGGGCCTGTCCCCCTGCAGGGGGATTTCGACGAAAAGTAAAAAATACCCCACAAATGTTCAAAACATAGTCCAAAAATAGTCTGGGGACTATTTTTTGAGCATTGTTTTGCATTTTTGGTGTATTATTCTGGTATTGTGCCGCCTCGCTCGGCGGCGGCGATCCGCGATTTCCCGTGGAAGCGGGACCCGTCGCTGATCCACGCCCCCTTGATCCATGTTTGCGATCGCCGGATTGGTTAACGGTACGATTGGGAACACGGTTTTTTTGGTGAAACCGAGCTCACGCAAAACAAAATGTAGGAGATCACGAAACACAGTTCCCGACAGCTTCAACCTGCGATATGTATCGAGCGAACACGACGCAGGGTGTTGTAGGAACGCGCGAACCACCATGTCCTGCAATTGGTTTGGCCACGAACCAGTCCCACCTACAATGCCGAAACCTACATCCTCATAACCATTGCCGTTAGCGCGTCTACGGCCCCCAGGCATCCCACCCCGAGAAATCTGGGGGTTACATCGGTGTGGGTGCTAGATGTCAGCTCGTGATGTTCCCTTTATGTGGCAGCTCATGTGAGCCTCCCGTACCAACTTGCTGGCTCTTGCGAAGCGACGCCGATCGACGCTAAATCGGCGCTGTCTCCGCTCCTGCCTCGTGCAAATCGACGCGGGTGCGCCCTGACGACGGGAGGACGAGCGTACACAAGGCTCCCAGGATTGGCTGTCGACACTTCTTTGAAGGGGCCCTGGGACACACAAATAAATACACACAAATAAAATGAGTCCCCATATTTTCCCATATTTTCTGTGTGTTTGTCTTCCCGCCCAATTCCCATATTTTTGCATATTTTCCTGGGAGTCGACGATTAATTGTGTCTGTGTGTTTCTTTCCCTCCTGATTCTGCTTCGGAGAAGAGACTCCTAAAAAGTCTCTACGTACAGGCCTCGGCAGATCTTAGCTAACACTCTTTCCACCTGCATCGGCCAACGCCCTCCCCCCAAAGATCCATGTTGGCGGTGGGTTGACTCTGAGCTGCACTTCGACCGCCGTCTTTCCCGCGCATGCCGACTTCGAATTTTTGGGGGAGAGGGTAGCGGCCTCCCGGATGGGGTCGGAGCACATGGGGTCGGAGGATTGCGCCGCATCGCCAATGCATCGCAGATGCATCGCCGATACATCGCCGATGCAGCGGCGACGTCGGCGACGCACAGGCGCCGTCGGCGCGGAGAAAATCGGGCTCCGCATCGAGCCGCATCGGCGGCGCATCGGCGAGGCGGCGCAATACTCCGACCACATCAACTCCGACATCCCTCTGGGAGGCCTATAGACAGGGGGAGCGCCCATGCATTTTCGACCTCTACAGTCCCAGGGATGCGATGTCGTGATCTTTTCAATGCGGGGTCCCTGGAAGTCTCGACCCTTTCCCCAGGACCGGCTTTTCGTCCCGAGTCGTTTCTTGACGGCCCCGAGGCCCGGCGAGGGCCCCCAGAGGCCGACAATGGCAAAAAACAAATCCCCGTCATCACTTCTCAGTGCTCGAGGGGGTCTGGGCAGTTCGCGGGCCCCCCAGGACCTGGCAACGTCGCCGGCGCCCTTGGCGAGGTTGCCTGCGCCCTGGGCGGCCGTGCCCGGGAGCCGGGAGAGCAGGGCGGCGGCCGGCAGCAGCGGGCCGACCAGCTTGCCGCCGATGTCGGCCGGGGCGCCCCGCAGCCGCTCGAGGCGCGGCAGCCAAAGAAGCACCTGCTCGCCGCTGGTGTCCGCCGGGGCGCTCCTCTCCCAGACCCCCTGGCGTTCTTCGCTATATGTTCGGCCTCTCTCGCTGTTTTCGCTTTAAAAACAACCACCGCGGGAGGCTCTTCGCTATATTGCGGCCTCCGGGAGCCGAACTGGGCCCACGCAGAACCGGCCCCGGGGAAGCGGTCCAGACCCCCCATGGGGGTCGACGTTGTGGAAAAAATCACGACGTCGGGGGTCTGAGTCCCAGACACCCGACGTCCTGATTTTTTCATGACGCGACCCCCAGAGGTCTGGACCCCTTCCCCAGTTTCTCATCATCAAGGGCTCCCAGCTTCGCGGTTCGCGCTGCGCGAAGCGCGAATAACTTCGCGCTCTCGCGCCGCCCCCCCAAAAGGGAGAAAAGGAGGACGAGGAGGAGGGGGAGAAGGAACGAGGGCCGCGAAGCGCGAATAACTTCGCGCCTTCGAGGGCGCCCTTGCATCCTGAGTCGTTCTTGGGCGGCCCCGAGGCCCGGTAAGGGCCCCTGGAGGCCGGAAATCGCGAACACCCTCCCGTCGTGATTTTTGTCACAACGCCAGGAGGCCTGAAGGAATCACGACGTCAGGGGTCTGACTACCTACCAGACCAACCCAAACCAACCCGAAGACCCGAATTTCGGGTTGGGAGGGGGGGGGGGACGGGCTTCATATGTTTTTTTTTTCAATGTTCCCCGACCCCCCCCCCAATGGAAATGGAGGGCAAGTCGGGGCCTTCGGGCTGGGCTGGGGTGGCTTGGTGGGCGGTGAGGGACTGGGTTCGCGGGCGAAAAGACATCGTTTCCTGAGGCCCTGGCGTTGCAGCGTTTTCGCAACGGGCGTTCTCGCCACGTGTCGGGCCCCAGGGTCCTCACAGATATATAACTCCGGCTCCAAACAATGGCGCAGGACGCTGGGATCTGGTGCTCGGGTCGTGATTTCTTGCGATGCTGTTTTTGTTCTGCAACGTCGGATCTTGGGGAAAGGAACGCGCTGTCTTTCGACTCGAGCAAGTTGTCTTGCATGGCATGGCGTGCCCACCCACCCCTCCTCTTCCTCTCCGCCGCACGTTCAAGCAACGGTGGGCCAGTGTGGCGTGCATGTGAGTCCCGGCCTGCGTGAAGTCCGGACTCCCTTTCGGGCCTCGCCACGCCCCCCCCCCACCAAACTCTGAAGAACATCTGCAAGAAAATCTATCCGTATCAGCGGCCTCGCGGGCCCGGCCCCTGGGCCGCGGCCACGTGGATACGGTCGGCGACTCCAAAGCGTGTGGTCTGCAAAGGGTGTGGTTTGCAACCGCCACCCTGGGGGACATCCTGGGGGGGCACCCTGGGGGGCGCGCGGGGGCCTCGATGGAGCTCTCCCGCGCCCCAGGGAGGCCCGACGAGGACAGCGCCGTGCCTCCCAGGCCCCACCGGTGCCGATCGCAAACCACACCCCGACGTAACCCTACCCGTTGTAGTCGCCGATGCGGGGTGATTTTCCTCGAGGAAGCCCTGGGCGGGACGTCTCCGTGCGACCGTGTACTCGCGGCATCCCGCCCCGGAAGCCAGACCGCGAGGGCGCGGACACGGACGTGCCCGCCGCTTGTGGCCTTTTGACAAGTGTGTCTTCCCAGCAAGGGGTGCGAGCTTGCTGTGCTGAGGACTGGGATTTCGGTCGGGCATGTCCTCCTACAGGCGGATTCTTGACAAAAGAATGACCATACTATTCTCTGAACAGAATCAAACAATAATAATGCCGATACGGATTCTGATAATAATGATAATGTTACTAAATAAAACCAATAATCACAAATGCGGAAAATAGTATAACAAAAAAACGTCCACATACTATGTCTGACTATTTTTGAATACTCCTCCTGTAGAGGGACACGCCCGACTTAGACTTAGGGGTCCGTGCTTGTCTTGCCGAGGATTTTTGATAGGTCAACCTGCGGCTGTTGGTGGTGGCCGCCCCGAGGCCTCTCCCGTGGTCGCCCCTGGCTGCCCGCGGCCGCCCCCAGGCTGGTTTTCCCGTAGCCTGCATCGCGCATCCTGCACCACGTAGCTTACACCGCTGCGCCTTGCGAGGCGGGGATTTATCCAGATCCACCGCCTGGGAACCGACGTCCTGGTGCCCCCAGCGGGCGGTGGATATGGATACATTTTTGGCCCCGCCCGAATCTGTCCACATCCACCGCCTGCCAAGGTCCCCGAAAATTGAGCCTCCAAGCGGGGGACGTGAGACTCGGGTACGGGGGACTCGGGTTGGCCTGACGGGGGCCGTCATGAAAATGACGAGGCCCAATCTGAAATTTGACGTGGGTTCCCGCTGCAGACGTCCCACGAAAACCGGGCCATCGAAATCCAGGACGCGCTCGTCAAAAAACTTCGGCAAACCCGAGTTCCGGCTTACTCGAGTCTTCCGTTTCCCCGATACACCGCTGCGCCTTGCACATGACACGCCTGGAGTACTGCGAGGGCATTGGATAAAGAACCCTTAGATAAAGAAGGAACTCAGGGTCTGAAACCTTGTGGAGCACTAAGTGAGGCGTGGCCAGGGATTTCACCGCCGCCCTCATCAGATAAGGACCCTCCAGGGTCTGCACCCTCCAGGGCACATTCCTTAACCAAGGCCCCCACCGTACCGTAACTTACTGCTTGGGGTCCACGCCGGCAAACACTGTAGCAAAGCGGACAAGAGACACGTCTGCACACGTACGCGTCATGCGCGTGCCGTGTGCGGGGCTGCTGGCGTGCCAGAGGGCGCCAGCCATGACGAGTCCCTCCTCCCCTCCTCCTGTGAGGGGAAGGAACGATTTGGGGGGGAGAGGGACTGGTAAACGTTTTCTTATTCGGAGTTTCGACACTGGGCGGACAGGGGGGGGGAGGGTGGAGTCTGGCTGGTCTGGCTTCGGACCCCTGCTCAGTGCGACTGTTTGCAGCAGGGCGTCCTGTGGGGGAGACTCCACCTGTTCGAAACAGGCGCAAGAAACAACTACGATCCACTCCATGGGGGGGGGGAAGGGGGGGGGGGGCGAGGGCCCGCGCCGATCGGCAAAACAATGCATAAAAAACAATCACCTGCCTCGGAGGGGGGGGGAAACAAGGACCATGAATCGGCGATGCATCGCAGACGGTCGAACTCCTTGCTGAGGCCACGAGTCGCTGCTTGAGTTTGCTCACCTCATGTCGTGTCATGTCCCCGGCCGCCAAATCGCGCGTCCCTGGGCGGGGTTGGGGCACCCAGGCCTCGATGGGCGACGACTAGGAGATGGGTGGTCGGTTGCTCGGGCCCACGCCTCCCCCCTCCCCCTTCTCCCGATACAGTTAGGTCGGGCGTGTCCCCATACAGGCGGATTTTGGAGGAATTACCCTGGCGACGTACCCAACCCCTGCGCAAAAGCGGGGCGCAAATAGTTTAGGATACTTTATAAGGGGGCGATGACGGAGCGAGGGTTACATATGTCTGCAGACGGAATTCGGGAGACTCGCAGGACACTGGCTACAGGAAAAGGGCTTGATAAAGCTGATGATTTACAATTCCTGAGCACTCCTAGCCACTTCGAAAACGGGGATCACAGCAGGCCTCGAAAGTGGCGACAGGTTCACAGATCGCAGCCCCGCAGGGATGGCGAGGTCTCATTTGAATCTGCCCGTGGCCCTCACTGTGCTGGGCCCCCCAGCAGGCCTCGAAAATGGCGACAGTTTCGCAGATCGCAGCCCCCCAGGGATGGCGAGGTCTAATTTGAATCCGCGCGTGGCCCTCACTGTGCTGGGCCCCCCAGCAGGCCTCGAAAATGGCGACAGTTTCGCAGATCGCAGCCCCCCAGGGATGGCGAGGTCTAATTTGAATCTGCGCGTGGCCCTCACTGTGCTGGGCCCCCCAGCAGGCCTCGAAAATGGCGACAGTTTCGCAGATCGCAGCCCCCCAGGGATGGCGAGGTCTAATTTGAATCCGCGCGTGGCCCTCACTGTGCTGGGCCCCCCAGCAGGCCTCGAAAATGGCGACAGTTTCGCAGATCGCAGCCCCCCAGGGATGGCGAGGTCTAATTTGAATCCGCGCGTGGCCCTCACTGTGCTGGGCCCCCCAGCAGGCCTCGAAAATGGCGACAGTTTCGCAGATCGCAGCCCCCCAGGGATGGCGAGGTCTAATTTGAATCCGCGCGTGGCCCTCACTGTGCTGGGCCCCCCAGCAGGCCTCGAAAATGGCGACAGTTTCACGCAGATCGCTAATTTGAATCCGCGCGTGGCCCTCACTGTGCTGGGCCCCCCAGCAGGCCTCGAAAATGGCGACAGTTTCGCAGATCGCAGCCCCCCAGGGATGGCGAGGTCTAATTTGAATCTGCGCGTGGCCCTCACTGTGCTGGGCCCCCCAGCAGGCCTCGAAAATGGCGACAGTTTCGCAGATCGCAGCCCCCCAGGGATGGCGAGGTCTAATTTGAATCCGCGCGTGGCCCTCACTGTGCTGGGCCCCCCAGCAGGCCTCGAAAATGGCGACAGTTTCGCAGATCGCAGCCCCCCAGGGATGGCGAGGTCTAATTTGAATCCGCGCGTGGCCCTCACTGTGCTGGGCCCCCCAGCAGGCCTCGAAAATGGCGACAGTTTCACAGATCGCAGCCCCCCAGGGAAGGTCTAAGGAGGAGGAGGGCGGGAGAAGGGACGCGACCACACTGCTCTATTCAAAACGAATACCCAACCAAGGAGGGTTGGGAAAAATATATAAGCATATATGTCTGTATGTCTATACATAGATGTATATCTGTAAAGATAGATAGTAAAAACTAAAAAACATGCCAATCGAAATGCTCAAAAAATCGTCCCCCCGACTATTGTTGGACTACTTTGGGGAATCCTTCCTGTAGAAGGACACGGCCGACTTAACGATACAGTCGGGCTGCTGACATCAGAAACGACACATGAGGAACGGAGTGCCTTTTTGGCCCCGGAAGCGCCTGCGTGCACGAGGAGGGCTCGAAGAATGACCAAAGGAACAGCGAGCCCCTTCCGATCCCAAAGCGGTCCTTGTTTCAGCGCCTTGGCTGTACTGGCCTCCCTCGACCCCCGTGCCGGGAGGGACCGAGGGATCTAATGTATATTATAAATGTTTTAATCGGGTATTTTGCACACAAAAGTATGTCTTTGTACACTATTATATTTGATATTGTTAC